GCCCGCCCGGCTCAGGCCAGAGCCAGCAGCACATCGAGTGCGTGGTGTGCGGGGACAAGTCCAGCGGCAAGCACTACGGCCAATTCACCTGCGAGGGCTGCAAAAGTTTCTTCAAGAGGAGCGTCCGCAGGAACTTAACTTACACATGCCGTGCCAACAGGAACTGTCCCATCGACCAGCACCACCGCAACCAGTGCCAATACTGCCGCCTCAAGAAGTGCCTCAAAGTGGGCATGAGGCGGGAAGGTGAATATTTCTTCTCTGCTTCTCTCCCTGAGCTTCGCCCGCCTTCCCGGCCCTCTTTCTTTCTCTCTAGCAGAGGTGGCTGCTGTATGGGGCTGGGGCTCCTGCAGTCCTGGCCCGTCCCAGCTTCCCCTGTCCCCGCTGCCTTCCTCCACACTTGCTCAAGATCACACTGATGAGAGAGGCAGAGCTGAGATTCGAATGCAGGCCGCCCTCAGGCCTGCGCTCGTCTCCCTGGCTCCTCCATCCCTCTCGCTGCCTGCTCGGGATTGTGTCCCTGGGATCGTGAGCTGTGGCTTTAAATCCCCTTCTTCCTCTGTCTTGGATGTGCTCGATGTGTGTCTCTTTCCCGCGTGTGCGTGAGGATGCTTGCGCTGTGCTGGCATGAACTTGGGGAGGGTGCTTACTTCCCCCAGAAAACTCTGTGTCTGTGTTTTTGCATCTCACTTTCCCCTCCATCTTTTCCTTCCCTTTATTTGAAATGGGGGAGGGCTGGGGACTGGAGTGCCCTGAGTAGATTCATTGCTGCATCATCCTTTTGGAAGCTTAGCATGGAAAAAGAGGAGTGAGATTTATTGCACTTGTAGGTCTAATTAGGGGAGGGGGGGCGCTTCTGGCCTGTTCACTGGTTCCCTCTCCTCTTCATGGAGCTGGGGCCGCCTCCTCCGGAGCTGTGGCCTTGTTTTCACCCCTCTACTTTGAAAGGAAAGTTTGTGACTGAGCCGTGCTTTCATAGTTGTGTCATTTTTATAAAAAAAGCATGATACTCATTTTATTTCTTCATCAAACTCCACCCTCTGCTTAAATACTGCATACAAATTACAATTTACAACGGCATTTACCGAACCTTCTGATTTGGCTATAATGCATAGATAGACTGCAGCTGGCATGAGCTTCCACATCATTTAATCCCTGTGTTGTATGGCTTTGGTTTCTTTTAACGCAACTTTTGATGTTGTATTTAGATATGCTTCATGTTCATGTGGCAAGAGATGCAGCACTTTTCTTATAAATATATTTAGCCATTTACAGTTAAAGTTTATCTCCTGACAATCATTAAAGATGTCTTATAGTCAAATTAGCGAACCAGTCAATTTTGCAGAATGCAGATTACTCCTTCTTGTAATTGGCTTTAAAATTATATTTTATATGCCACAGGAAAAGAAATTGAATTCCTTCAGATCTCAAAGAGCAGGCAAATATGACGACTTCATTTCTAGCTCCAGGAAGATTTTGTAGGCATCTGGGGGGAGGGGGGAGAAAAAACAACAACTTTGAATTGTGCTGTCATTTAATTGAAAAATAACTGCCAAGTTCAAAACTATAATTAGAAAAAAGTATTCTAGCCATTATGTTTCAAGATCTGAAATTGCATTGGGACTCGCATTAAAAATGGAATCAAAGCAAACTTAAGAAAACAGTGCACAACCTGAAATAAGACAGCTACGTGTACATGGACATATCTACATTAATTTGTTGGGGGGAGAGTTCAGTAGCCCTAACTTTTCCTAGAGTTGTCTTTGTTTACATGGCAATTTAAAACGCTGGCACTGTTGAAGTAAAACATACACATTAAAAAAAAAAAAACTTTGGTCAGCTTTAAGAACTCAAAGCATGCTTACGTTTTGCATTCAGATGGTTAATGAATCCAGTGTTTTTGCAGTTGCAAGCTCGTGCATTCACTGGGCAAAAGCTGGCTGCAGGTTGCAGTGGCACCACGCAGGACAGACATTAATTATATTTCCTACTTTTCCCCATAATGTTTGGCTACTGTAAGTTCAACTTTTTTTTGAAATTTTTCAATTTTCTGTTGCTTTTAACAGCGAGAACTTTGTGTGGGGCGATGGGGAGGAGAGGAGAGGGGAGGGAAGCAGGATACTTGTTTTCTATTGAAAAGTTGTAAGTGATTAGTAGCATATGTAACTTGTATCTATTTTAAGGGTAATTCTATGGCATTTTTAGAGAATATGAGAGCATTTTGAGCAAAATGTTGCTTGCTTGCAAATGAAGAGGCAGCTAGGCATTTGCCTAGAACCACAACCTTTCTCTGGTTCCTCCCGTTTGTTTTCTACACTGATTTGTTTCATTCTGGAGGGGGTGAGTGGGATTTCATTGATCTGCGTGCTACTCCTTGGTGGTAGAGGGGTTGGGTGGGACTTCCTTGGGCTTGCGGGGCCTGGGGGCCCTGAAGTCAGGCCTAGTTCTGGCGGGGCTGGGGTGACCAGGTGCGCAGGCGATGGACCGGCGGAGCAAGAGGGCCTCACCCCAGGTTTCCTGCTGGTGCAGGCCGTAAGAGCGAGCGCAAGAGAAAACGCGCCGGGAGCGTGTGACTGTGGGAAGAGCCTCCGCATTGTGTCGGGCGCTCTGCAGCGCGGCTATGTCCGCAAGCCCCCTGGATGCACATTGCCTCTTTTCTCTCTTTCTTTTTGTCAGCGGTTACGCGAAGAAGAATGCCTCCAACCCAACCCAATCCAGGCCAGTACGCGCTCACCAACGGGGACCCCCTCAACGGCCACTGTTACCTGTCGGGCTACATCTCTCTGCTGCTGCGCGCGGAGCCCTACCCCACCTCGCGCTACGGCAGCCAGTGCATGCAGCCCAACAACATCATGGGCATCGAGAACATCTGCGAGCTGGCCGCGCGCCTGCTCTTCAGCGCCGTCGAGTGGGCCCGCAACATCCCCTTCTTCCCGGATCTGCAGATCACCGACCAGGTGTCCCTGCTCCGCCTCACCTGGAGCGAGCTGTTCGTGCTCAACGCGGCGCAGTGCTCCATGCCGCTGCACGTGGAGGAGAAAAATCAAGTTAGCTTACATTATAGTACAGTGGCTGCCAACTTCTGTAGAAAAAGCCAGAAAATATAAAACCT